AGCCCTATACACGAAATAGGTCATTTTTGACTTTTTTCATTTTTTTTCAAAATGTTGCATATGACTCCAGCGTATAATAATAATGCTAATGGGGCGATCTACTGGGGTTGACTACCATTTACCCCAAATTCTGGTCTCCAGATTCATCCCCAAATTTTATCCCCGCCTGGGGTAAATACGAAAAAATATAAAAATTGGTAACCAGATGGGGATTTTTATTTGGGGATTTTTTTAGCTGGGGATTTTTATTTGGTGATTTTTTTAACTGGGGATTTTTTTTGCTAGGTATATAGTATATATATATGTTCAACAGATCTTAAATCAGTCTTGTTCTTTATCATCTACTATACAACGCTTGTAGGTTAGGATCTGACTTAAACTGTGATGTCCTAAGTCAACTTTCTCATTATGTATACAATTGTAAACATTTAAAAAATATCAAAGATTCTGGTGACCAGCTAGAAACCTTTTAGACACAAAATGAATACAGACTTAGAACGATGCCGAGTTTTTTTGACCATATATTTTAAGACGAACCAGCTTGAGAAATAAGTCTCTTAAAAAGCTTTTTTATGTAAAACTGGTGACCAGATTTTAAAAATCGATTAGAGCTGATTATTAGTTTTCAACTTTTTCGACAAACTGCAGTTAATTGTTTTTTTTATAACACTAGACACTGTAATGAATCTTTTCAAAAAAAGAAAAGTGGTCACCAGAAGATTTCTACAACTATTGTGGTAACGAGAAAGTTATTTTTTCCGACTACCAAAGCCTGCTACTAAGTATGAGAACGACCTCTATTAGTTGTAACATTTATATGACGATATACAAGAGTCACTGTAATCGAAGAAATTGTACTGTTCAAATACAACGTGATCAGCTTCGAAGATTAAACAATCATTGCATCGAAGATATTTGAAAAAACAACTGGGAAGAATTCAAAAAAGTATTAAGATGCGAATACAGTTTATCTGCTGAATTAATTCGTGAATAGTTCCATCATACACGAGTAATTTAGCAAATGTCAATCGTTTGTCCTACTTGTTGGTCTCCAGATACATCACTACATATGATCCCTACGTAAGGATTATTAACTGATTATCATCGATTCTGGTGACCAGACAGAGACTTTTATATAGGGACTTTTCTATTTAGGACAATTTCACTATAACATGTCATACATATCATAATGAAATATTATCTGAGGCTTCATACTAATCTCTATATCTGCTTTTTAGGGTCACTGACTGAATATCTTATACGTAAACCTAATGCAATGCGATAGTATATCTGGTGACCAGATTCAAACAAGTAAATACATGTTATTCTTGTAAAGAATCAGCTGAACCTGGGGACTAGATTAAATGATATAGATTAAAATGTCACTCATCTATTTATCTGAATCTGGTCACCACTTTTAACATGTTATTCACAAGAATAGCATCTATTTACTTGTTTGAATCTGGTCACCAGAATCGATGATAATTAGTTAATAATCCTTACGGAGGGATCATATGTAGTGACGTATCTGGAAACCAAAAAGTACGGCAAAGAACAGCATATACCTGTTTAAGTTGTCACATACTTCTGGTAACCAAAACGAAATTTATTTTTTTTTAGAAACTTTCGACCAGAAATTCAGCATGCACGACGTAATTCTATATCGTCCAATATCTTTTTCGAGACTATTAACTATATTAAAATCTACAAAATTTTAACTATATAGATTTCTTTACGGATGTTTAATCAGTCTATCGAAACAAACTTTTAAATAATTCTAATGACCAGAAATGTTTAAAATAAAAAATATTGATTATTCGTTCTGATCAATTACGCAGATTGATCAAGGATCGCAAATGCATTTGAACGGAAAGCTTCTTGTTTTAGAAAAGTACATATTCATCTATTTTCATTCGTAATCGTTAATAATATATTATAGATCTGATAATTTTTATTACTGATGGTATAGGCAATATTCACTATACGACAAAACGTGTTGTGCTAACTACAGTGAATCTTCCATTATCGTTTAAGAAGCCTTCAAGTTAGTAATAAAAACTTCTTAATAAAGCTATTAAAATACTATTCTGGTCACCAGAAATGCTTATTATGTTTATAATATGTTTCACTATATATTCGTTTTAATATCATTTTTGTTTCTGTTTTCCTCAAATGTTGAATGAATTTGAATAGTGCAAAACGATAGATTAATGCAGAACGAAAAGAATACTCTCCATAAACATCATGTGCTTAAACAAAAGATAAAATCGAAAAGAAAAGTAAAAGACGCAATAGATAATTCGCGCCTATTCATATGAAAGTTTTGTTAATCTATCGCATTAATACATTTAGCCCGTTTAGCCTATTTATTCCTTTTTCTCGACCAGAAAATATAATCTCTACGTCAGTTTGTTACATAAGATTATAGAAGAAAATAGTCGGAATACACAAAGCTGAAATATATAGACGGCTAAAGTGCTGTTATAAATAGTCCCAAAAAATCGTTTTAAACATAATTGTTTGTAATAAGATCAACAGACAACATAATCTACACGTATCACTTTTTACTTCAATAGCCAATTCTCCAAGTAAGTTGTTATGTATCTTAATATTGATTCTCAGTACAATATCTCCTATTGCTTTTAGACAATATTAATATTATGATAAATTTTTAACATTTCAGTATAGTATCGAGTATTTGTCATGATCTCTGCATTGTATGTAGAGAAATTAAGATTTATATCTAGTTTATGCTAGAAGCGAAATTATATCAAAACGATTCTGATGAATTATAAGATTGTTCATTGAGACAGTATTAATGAGGTAGTATAAGCTCGGACATCAAAATTAACCTGCGCTTAACTTTGGTTTATACATTGGAAGAAAACCATAGAAAATCGTAACATATTTTTTTGCAGGAAAAGTCTTTTAGCCGTACTATTTCATATATTCTTCAAATGTTTGTTATGACGATTGCTGAAAACACATATTAGAGAATTATCAATTCTGGTTACCAGATACTAAAATGTTGAAATTTTCATTTTCGTTTTCATTTTATTTGTTTTTAGACTAATTGTTTTTCAATTACTATTTGTAAATAATTATAATTCTGCTTGTTATTGCGATATGGCTAGAACAAAACAAGCGACATATCAATCTAAAATAACAACAACAACAGATGGTCAAAAGACACGGTTACCATTGGCGTTAAAACCGACCAGTAACACAACATTAGTTTCACATTTAACAGCCATGGATCAACCATTATCGAAGACATCGAACAATGCTAATATCAACTCAACATTTTCAAAAAATAGTTCATCATCAAACATGACAACTGATGATGGTACAAGTCAAACATCATCTATAACTAATCAAACTCGATTATCTACAACTATTTCCTCTTCATCAAAAACTATTACAGCATCGTCTTATGAAACCGAATTAGCTTCAACATTAGTAAAAGGAAAAAAAGGAAAAACAAAAACAAAATCAAAAGCAAAAATTATTGATTGTGAACTCAATTTAAAGGATAACAATCAAAACGATGACGATGCACATTATGATCTCCGTACTTCCATAGAAGAAAGCGGCGGTATTCATAAATTTTTAAATACTCCCTGTATGATACTTTACAAGAAAAATTTGAAAAATCAAAGTAAGTCCTCTATTTATCATATTCTTAATATTTATACTATTTCTGAAGAGAGGATCAGTTTAAAACACTTTCACATAAAGGGAATAGAATCTGGTTACCAGAAACTATTATCTGACAGTTTTTTTCGGCCTTCAGCATTTCGTGATCTATAGATCTGGTCACCAAATTCTAACGATAAGAAGAAGAATATATCGCTTCGCTTCATCTGATTATATTTGTCATATATTGATTCTCATTTTAGGTGATATTGAAAAATACGTTTTACAGCATTTGACATCATACAAGGAAAACTTATGTGAATTTCCGGGGATCACAGGAACTGATCAAGTTAAAAAAAGCATCAATGATTTTTATCGACGATATCGAAAAACATCGATGAACTCAACTATATTGTACAAAGCAAATACAAAAAAAACAACATCGACACAACAGATCTATTTGAAAAACGGAACCCTTTATTTATATGTTGACAATGTCATGAAGATAAAAACATCAAAAAATAAAAAACAAAAGGTTCCCAGTTGTAAGTACATATTGCTGTACATTTTCTAGATTTTTGTTGTCAGAAAAAGCGCGCCTTGATTGTATTTTAGATAAAATGTGAAAGCTAAAATAAATCGCTTTTTTTACTTTAGATATAGGTACAGCAAGTGCTCGTGGCAACTCTGATAATATGAAAGATGACGAAAACGATTCCGAACCATATTTTGATGAAGCATCTGATGAAGAAATAGAAGAAATAAATGGTATGTTAGTAAGGCAATTGAATTTAATTAGCTAAATACGAAAAAATGAATGGTTAACAATTCTGCATGATACGTTTTTTAAAATTTTTATTGTTCAAAGCAAGAATGAAAACTAAAACTTTTCTGATCTTTCTTTTAGCTTCAACTAGTGGTACACGAAAAAGATTTATACAATGGAAAGGAGGGTCAAAAAATTGTGAGTCCAGAACTAGAATTTATCTGAAAAGTTCAACATACGTATTTGTTCTCTTTTCTTTATTAGGTGGTACATATGTTTATTATAATAAATTCGACGAAGTAAAAGAATGTGTTAATAATATTTTAAGCTATGGTCGGGAGCATGGGACATTATTATCAGGGGTTCAGTTGAAAACTCTCATGGATATTGAAAATGTAGAAATCACAAAAGATCGAGCCAATGTTCTTGTTAAACTTGTTAGTAGTTGTGTTGATGTTGTTCCAAATCCACATTTTGTTTCTCCAACAGCAAAACGACCGTAAGTCATCATCTTAGAATGATACATTCTTCTAGTTCAACATCTATTTTTGTTGTAGAGTGTATGAGTACTATGGGTTAGAATTTCAGTTAGCTGTAGTAGAATCGAGCAAATCAATACCAATTCCAACCGAAATATTAGCACAATACAAAAGAGAAAAAGAGAAAGAGGTGAATGCATTCTTTTTTATTATTCTGGTTACCAGAATTTTGTCTATTTTTCTTTACAGAACGAAGGTGATCGTCATGAAAAAAGTCACAATAGTCACGAAACAGTAAGTTACGGTGTAATTGCTTCATACCTAAATTTGATACTTCATAGAAGAGATTGAATTAGTTAATCTTTTCTTTTTAAGTATAATAAAATAATTGAAGATAATGATTCTCAAACTTCTAATGGCGCGAAGAAACTCATTAGATATTTGAGATGAATAACATAATGATTACTTATTTTAAAAATGCATTTATAATATTTTCTTTGACATATGGTTAAAGTTTTTTTGTTAAAATAAAACAAATTGTATGAAAGCAGTGCTAAGAAAAGTTCAAATAAAGGGAAAAAGATAAAAACATCGATGATTTTTATTCTAATTGCCTATTTATATGTTGATTGTTTCTTCGAAAGTGGTGACCGGATTCTAATTTTATCTTTTATTTTTTTTATTCTATAGGAAGACAATGATTTTACAAATGATGATATCAATATAGAAAGTCATACTGTAATTTCTAGTAGTGTAATTAATGAAGAAGTCGTTATTAATGATAACATTACATTGTCATTAATTCACTCAACTGAAGATAACAATAGTAAAACTACTGATAATGATAATGTGAATGTTGATGTTATTACAAAACAGGTAGAAACACCAGCTACAAGTTTGGTAAGTGAATTGGTCTATTTTAACGAAACGTAGTTTTTGGTGACCAGATGTGTGTATCTATCAATAGATGACATCATCGTCTCCTCTTGTTCGTGATAAAATTGATTATTCAAATACAACTGATACAACTGCAAGTGATTTGGAGTTGCTAGTTCATGATTCGAAACAAAGTGCAACATCATCATTACCGTTATCGTCTGTAGCTCCTGAAGTTTCTTCATGCAATCAAACATCGTCCGCTAATGTTTCTCATTCAAATCCACATCAGCAATCAAATTCGGTAGAATATACTACCGAGGATGAAGCACCATTACAGGAAAGAATGACACCACTACGATCTAATAGTAAAGCTGCCAGAACTGCAAATGTTCGTGTTAAGCGAGTGCCATCAAAACGGTAGGTTTTATTTTGATTTCATGTACAGATGATATTCGATTATAATTTAATTATTTTCATTATTTCTTTTATATGCTAATTAAAGGCGTCAGTCAATTGCATTACGTTCTAAAACAAAAATGAAACAACAACAACCATTGTCTGATATCACCCATTCTAAACGTAAAGAAGACGACGAAGAAGCTGCTATAACTCCATCTATTACTTCAAAAAAGAAAAAAAAATTGAATGGTGATGGTACATCTACAATGTCTCATCAAACTTTACCAAAAATATCAAAGAAAAAACCAAAGCCTTTAAAATAATTCGTTGTATGGATGATATTTGATTAAAAAATATTTTAGAAAATATAATTAGATTTCCAGAACTGGTAAAATATTAACTTGACTATTATGTGTCTTTTAGATTATATATTTGTCTTTGTTTTCCTTCTATGTGATTAGGTATTACTAGATGTTAAGTTGATCATTTATTTTATGCTATATACTATGTTTTGTTTTTTTCTTTATTTGTTTAAAAACGAAAAAACTATTCTAGAAATGAAATTTGTCGAGAAAATAAAGCAGTATTTCTGTTAATGAGAATTTTGTTTTTATAATATGATCATAAATATCTCGGTTTGACTTTTTTTCTATTCAGTTTCATAAAAAAATTCTAATTTTGATTATTAAGCATACACATCAGTGTAAATCCCATGCACGTTAGATGTATGTTCAAGAAGATTTACATTCTCGTGCTGATTGTAACTTCTTCAAAATTTAAAACCTGATTACCATAATATATACTTTCTTTAATCTTTTCTTTTTTTTTAGATTAAATTCATCATTTCTAATTCTTTATCTTTACAATGTATACAAATAATGATCTTACACAATTTATTGGTCCATCTTCTTTATCATCATCGTTATCATAACAGCATTGACTGATATGGATTCTACTATGCAAAAACAATTTACAGCTGAATATAATACATTATGCTCTTCACTACCATCACACCATGTTACTCCATCAGTTCATCATCAATATCAACAACCACATGCGTATCAATCTGAACCACAGCCATTATCAGAAGACGAATGGGATTTAATACAGTCGTTTCGGATGATGAAAACCTTGAATAGCTTATCGTCATTTCAGTCGTCGTCTTTTCCATCAAATCAATATACAACTGACACTTCTTTATATCAAACAATTTCTTCATTTTCTCAAACTGGTCACCAGAAACAAGCATTGGTGCATTTTACAACAGAATCAACAACTACAACACCTTCATGTCAGCTTCCAACGTCAGAAGAAACATCTCGACAATCTTCATTTCATAAAGAGATACAACTTTCTAATTGTGAATCAACATCAACGTTCAAAACAGTTATAAGATCACCATTACCATCACCATCATCATCTACGGCTAGTGGTCGATCAACACCATCTCCTACAACAATTAATCTATCGTCACCACAATCACCAATTCGAAAAGATTATGGACAAACAATATCAACCTCTCAAACAGAATCTGGTCACCAGAATTATTCATATATACATCATTCACAATCACAATCTGATCATCAGAATCATTCATTTATACAACATTCACAATCTGGTCACCAGAATCATTCACCTATACAACATTCACGATCACATTCACCTCTTGTATCAAGTCCAGTGGGAATAGTTTCACCGGTACAACAACAACAAACATCTACAAACCAACGTTCATCATCGCCCTCCCAACAACGGCAATCATGTAACCTTCAAATATCATCAACACACGAATATAAATCATTGAGTACAACACCAACTGTCGAATTACTTGATTCGACAAAGCCCTATCGAGCTGGCGATACAATCAAGGTCGGAGGACGTCTTTTAAAAACCGACGTCTTATCTATGAAGTATTGGATGAATGATGATATAACCATTACCGAAACAACAAATGGCGGGCAAATACTCAACATGGCTGGCTATTCATATGTTGTTAAGAATCACGGAAAGTATTTCACGAAGTGGGAATGTGAGAATCGTCGAAATCATCAATGTTCTTCAATACATATTCGAACATCTGATCCAAGAATTACAAATTCATTTAAGATATATTCTATCCAGGGAAGTCACATACACGAACCAACACCTAATAATGTTAAAGTTCGTCAATTCAAACAGCGTGTTCGGGACCGATGTCGACACGAATTATGTAGTCCCAGAGCGATATACGACGACGAACTGAAAAAGGGAAAATATTCAACAGAAATGTTATCAGCTTTACCAACGTTTTACAACATACGTGAGTAAAATACAAACCTTCTATTCACTAAGTTTCTTCAAGATAAATAATATTTTTACTAGTCTGGTGACCAGTTTTCACATAGTCATAGTTTTCAAAAATGTGACGTTAATAGAAAAAATTAATTTATCCTGTCTAAGTGGGAATAGATAGTTTTTTTTGAATTTAATAATTAAATAAGTTTCACTTAATTTCTTTTAGAATCTCAGTTGTACCGGATACGACAAAATCATCTACCGAAATCTCCAATAACTTCAGATTTTGTGTTGCACCAAGGATTTACATTAACAGATCAAGGAGCACGTTTCTTATTATACGACTCCAATACAGTTGAAGTTCCATATGCACCAGCTCCGGCTAGCGTAGGCCGACTCATCATTTACTCAAGTGATCTTCAACTACAAATTCTATCAAGATCAAAACGAGTCGCTAGCGATGGTACATTTCAAACAGCGGCAAACATCAGTCAACAAAATTACATTATTGTAGGAGAACACGAAGAAAATCATACTGGTAAGAGCAAATTTTAATCTGGTGACCAGAAAAATCTTTTCTGACTTGGACTATTCTATCGCATTATTGTTATTTCTAGTTCCAGTAGTATTTTGTCTATGTGAAAGCAAATGCTATCAAACTTATCAATTAATTATACAAGTGTTGAAGATAAACATGAACAACATGAACTTATTATGGGAACCAACATGTTGGATGAGCGATTACGAAAATGCACTGGTGAAGGCAGTTAGAAAAGAAGTAAATATAGCATTCAATTCGATAAATTATTTTTTGAACTGTTTCTTAAGCATTCTTTATATATTATCTAAGTTCTGAAAGCATTATTCTGGTCACCTGATAATGACAAGGATAATATAAACTTATAAACTAGGATTATTCCACACTCTTTGAGATATTATAGAAAAGCAAAATGTGGTGACCAGATTTACAATTTTACTTACTGAAATATTATTTAATTTTTTAACTTTCCATTTTTAGTTGCCACGTACACGGCTTATTGGCTGTGCATTTCATTATGCACAATGTGTTCATCGTAACATCCAAAGCCACGGACTTCAAGATGCTTACCAAAATAATGAGCTTGTACGACAAATTCTAAGACAAACGATGGCTCTGGCTTACATGCCAAGTGATCAAATTCGAAAACTGTATTATGATGTTATTAAAGCACAACATAATACTGTTCTAAAAGATTTCCGTAAAAATTTACGAAATTTTTCTAAGTATTTCGAATCATTCTGGTTAAAAAAAATACATCAATTTTGTGTATTTGGTGAATCAATACGGACGAACAACGGACTTGAAGGTATGCACTAACTGTACATTTTTCCTTCTTGAAAACATTCGTTTGACTAAAAGTAGAAGTAAATATGTGCTCTAATATAAAGATGTGGTGACCACATTATACATTTCTTTTAAGGATTTGGAACTTAGCAGAGTATATCGTTGTCAATTTTTCAGTTTTCTACTGTATATTAAAAAGAATACTCTCGCTGTAAAAGTACTTTTGATATTTGTTTCTAAATACAGTTGAGTACTGCTGTCATTTTATTTATAGGATATAACAACAAGTTAAATATCCAATTATCGGCACATCCACATCTTTATCGACTTATCATATATTTCGAGAAAGAAGAATTACTAGTACAACAGCTCATTTCAAAAACTAATTCAAATATACCGATACATAAGAGAAAGCAAACTGCAAAAGCCCGTCGTATGAATGAATCATTACAAGAATTGTGGAATCGGTACAATACAATGAATCTTAGTGCAACAGAATTATTGTTGGAAGCATCAAAATGGGTGGCGAAGAAGGTGTAGTGCGAGGACGTATAGAAGAAATTAAAAATTTCAGTATATTTTTTGTTATGAACGTTCCTTGTGTACACTATTTTTGTTGTTGACTGTGTATCGATAGTTTTGTTCTATATTTGGTGACCAGAATATGCCGATTGATTCTTTTTTATTCTGATGATATTTTATTGTAACATATCTATGTTATATGTTCCTACTAACCTATTGTAATAAGATTATGTTTGACTAACAGAAAAATTAATCGAGTTTTCTGCTAACACGTGTATTTTTTTGAACTTTTGTTTCTTCTCATTCTTATTGTTATATGAAAAGTAGAAAATTTGCTTTCTTTATCGAATACTACTTTTGTTCAATTTTTCTCTTTCATTGTGCTATAACTTTTTGGTTGCTTTAACATTAACCTTTTTATGAAAAGAAAATTGAAAAGTATTAAATTGTTAATAAAAATAACAGCGAAACTTTCACAATAGATAGATTATTAATTCACTTATATTAAAAAACCTTCGTATCTGATGACCACATCCTTCACAATAGATAGATTATTGATTCACTTATATCAAAAAATCTTCATATCGGGTGACCAGATCCTTTACAATAGATATATTTTTGATTCACTTACATCAAAAAATCTTCGAATCTGGTGACCAGATCCCCCACAAAAAATATGCATAATATTCGTATGAGACTAATACCACAAAATTAATGAGTTATATACAATCAGTTAATGATAGTGT